TTTCCAGTGGGTCCAGTGACCTCTAGCCAGAGGTGGAGCTTCAGATGCTATGGCTATTACATAAATAATCCTCAGGTGTGGACAGAAGGGAGCAACGTCCTAGAGCTCCTGGTCTCAGGTGAGGAAGCCTCAGACTCTCTGTGGAATCAGGTTGCACCTGACTCATGTTCCCAGTGAAGACCAGGGTTGTGATATGTCTGTGGAATCAGGGCTCCTGAGATAACTGACACAGCATGGAGACTGTGGGAGTCACTGTTCAGAAAATGGGGGGGGGCATAGTGAGACTGGGGCTTGGTGAGGTCAGTGGACTAATGACAATTCCCAAGACATTATTGGTCCTTTGCTAATCAAGGGTAAATTTCAAGATCAACAGCATGCTTGATGTTTATTGTGAAACTATTCAAAGTCCCCTCTCCTTCTCACCTATTTCCCTGCAGGGACCCTTCAGAAACCCACCTTGTGGGCTGAACCAAGTTCTGTGATTGCCTCTGGCAATGATATGACCATCTGGTGTGAGGGGACTAGGGAAACCAAAATATATTTCCTGTATAAAGAAGGAAGCTCAGTACCCTGGGACAGTCAAATTCCCAAAGATCCTGGTAACAAGGCCATGTTCTCCATAGCATCCATGGAAAAGCATCATGCAGGGAAATATCGCTGTTACTCTTATAAATCTGTAGGGTGGACAGAGCGCAGTGACTCCATGGAGCTGGTGGTGACAGGTGAGAGGACACTTCTCCAACACTAGGACCATTCTTGAGGAAAAGGAATATGTTCACTGTAGCGTGTCCTCATATTCCAAAAGAAAGTAAATTGTTTACCATGTGATTCCACTTACCATGCTTCCTATTTCTTCCTGGGAGTTTCCCCCACCAAAATCACTCTGTCAGCCCTTTCCGGCCCTGTGGTGACATCAGGAGGAAATGGGACCTTTCAGTGTGTCTCACAAAAGGCATATAACAGGTTCATTCTAACGAAGGAAGATGAGAACTTCTCCAGGCCTTTGCCCTCACAGAAAATACACTGTGATCTATTTGGATCTGTGTTCACAGTGGGTCCTGTGACCCCCAACCAGAGGTGGAGGTTCACATGCTATGGGTATGATTTGAGCACCCCCCAGGCATGGTCAGTGCCCAGTAACCACCTAGAGCTCCTGGTCTCAGGTAAGGAAGTACAGAACTTTCCTTTGGCTGTAATTGCAAGTGACACAGAATCCCAGGAAAGGACCTGATGTGTGATTGTTGATTATGAGCTATATGAGCTAGGGTTACTGAACTCAATTTCTCAGAATGTGTGATACTACTCGACTTGAGGAACAGAAACCACGGTGGGTAGTAAGAATGGAAACAAAGATCCATGAAAAAGTGTGGTCTTTATGTGTCCTTCTGCTATTGCAGATCAGCTTATGTGTCCCTGCAATGGATGTCATTCTCTGCGCAATTCTCCTAACAGATGCACCTCCTTTCTTTCTTCTTCTTTGCTGGGATCCTTCATAATCCCTCAATATGGGCTGAGCCAGGCTCTGTGA